TGGGCATGGCTTTATGGGCGTGGCTTTGTGGGTATGGCAGGGGAAGGTTACTGCAAAATCCCCATTTCCTCCCGATCAGCTGGGACTCGGGAGGCCGAGAATAGATGGGGGCGGGGCCAGTCAGAGGTTGTATTTACTGGTTCTCCGAACTACTCAAAAGTTCCACTACCGGTTCTCCGGAACTGGTCAGAACTGGCTGAATACCACCTCTGCAAATGCTGCATGTCACCCAAAACATTGTGGCATGTCAGATTTGACACATGGGTCACATGTTCATCATCACTGATCTAGGCAGAAAGGTGAACAGGTTCTCTGGAGCCTGTCAGAACCTGCTGAATATCATCTCTGACTAGAAGGTCCTTTGAACAGCCACTCATGGTCTCCTCTCAATTGGACTACAGTAACACGTTCTACTTGGAGCTGTCCTGGAAGACCACTCACAGATTTTTTACAGTAGGGTGAAAAACTGGAATATGTTGAAATAAGATATTAAAGCACAGAACTAATTCATTTGATGCTTTTCATTAGGCATGTTCTTCATATAAAAGCATTTTTAATCTTCTTGGTCCAATAAGATTTTGTGAAAATAGGTCATGGATTTGCATATTAGTTATTCTACATAAATGGGAATAAATTCAGCAGGGTCAAGGCAGCATAGCCAGGTTGGCAGTTGGTATTTACCCCTGAATTAAAAGATGCAGATGTCAAGTTCAAGATAGTCTATGTTTATTCAGTGCATATACAGTGAAACCTTGCTTAAACAGAATCTTGGTTATTCAGTAATATCTCTTAAATACAAAAATAAATCATCTTAGTAATTTTCCATTTGCATGTTAATTACATCTTGCAAATGACATTACGTAAATCCTCTGTATAAATCTGGTCTGTTGTAAGCAGTCCGTTATATCAAGGTCTGGAAAACTGAGAAAATTTCACTGTATATGCAAAACGATTACCAGAATTTGTACTATTGCAGTGTACAAATTATGCATACGAAGAATAGTAAAGTTTACCAATTCCTACTGTCACCTGTGGTGCTTCGTTAGGATGCACAGGTTAAATAATATTATATTTCAGGATAACTATTATACTATTATATTTCCCATGGAGGACCAGAGTCACTATTGGCCACGTTTCACTATAAGTGCCAAAAAAGGATGTGATTTGATAGGGGGGAAAGCAGAAGCAAATAAAGAAATCATATTTTCCAATATGAAGCTAATCTCAACATGCATCATGCATATTCTCTATGCATGTTATTTGTGAAGTAGCCTTTAATACGCCACTTTAAAGGCAAAATCGTTTAAAGATCTCTTATAAAATTGTATGATTGTGACTTATAAAGAATGTACATTTAAGTACTCAGACTGCAAAGTCAACATTTGTAAAGAATGAAAACATTTACTGCATATCAACCGAAAGGATAAACCCCTTTATCCACAAAAGATCTAAATTAAAAGGAGAAGCATCAAAGTCAACAAAGTCAACACTTCCCCCCCCTCCTTTGTTAGCTTTCAAATTAAATATTATAAAATCAAATTAACAAAAAATGATAAGTTACATGAAATGTACAATCATGCTGAAGTCAAAGGAGCAATTGGACTGTTTAAAAGCTCCGGAAAGCTTTCTCGAAAATTTTCTGCCTAGGAACAATTCCATAAGGAATGTGGAAAAATAAATAAATAACCGTCTCCAAATTCCTCAAATAGAAGGTCCAAGGTAGAAAAAAAAAGAGTCTCAAAATAAATATGAACACAAAGAGATAGAAGTGAAGTGTCACACAGCAATTGGAACATACCCGCCTTCTACAGAATTTATGAGGCGATCCTCCCTTAGCAATAGGTAACACAAAAATGGGGAGAAAATTATCCACTGATACAATGCTACTGCTATTCATTTTGAATTAATCCACATTTTAATGGGACGTGACCAGAGGTGGGATTCATTTACCTTTCCTACCGGTTCGCAAATGTGAGCAGGCGCCCCTGCGCGCTTGCACATGACTCATCTGCGCATGCGTACCATTGGTGCATTATGTTGGGGCAGGGGGGGGCGGAGCCTCCCACAGCTGCCGCTATCGGTTTGCCTGAAGCGGAGAGAACCGGCTGAATCCCACCTCTGGACATGACATAAAACATGTAATTTTCGGCTTAACCCTCTTCATTCACTGAAGTAAAATTTCACTGCTACAAGCAATTTGAAATCCGCCCCTGTGAAAGTGAGGTCCTTATTCACAATGTGGTTTTCAGCGTCTAATAATCAGACTTCAATAGCCTCTCGTAAACATTTACAGATATAAAATTGAAGTTGCGGGTAGGACGTGAGGAAGGTTGCTTGTCTCTGTTTTGATTACGCTCCTCACATGAAGGCAAGCTATTGCTTTTTTGTTTAAGCTCAATTGACTGAAATAGAAATATGAAAAAGATAGGCTGATGAGAAAAGAATGTATATATATATATTTGCATTCAGGTTTACAGAAACGTAGGAAACTAAGAGCAGAAACAGACGTAGGGGGTCCATCGAGTCCGCCCTTCTTTGAGGTTTTTTTTTCCTTCCAATCTCTTCTGATATGTTTTTTCCGTCAGACCTTCCACCACTTTTGTGGTCCGTCTCTGAACTCACTTAATCTTATCTTTTTTAAAAGTAAGGTCTACAGAATTGGGCACAGTTTTCCAAATGCGTGGCACGACAAAACCGTGCTCGACTAAAGTGCGCCCGATTAAACCNGGTTAGGTTTAGGGTTAGGTTTAGGGTTAGGTTTAGGGTTACATTACAGCGCGCTTTTGTCGGCCCGCTTTAGGGCTAATTAGTCGCTCATTTGTCGCACGGTTTTGTCACCGTGCTTTAGACACCGCGGTTTAGTCAGGCGCGCTTTTGTTGTGCGCGCATTTGTGGTGGAACCGAAGAGAGTTGCCGGCCAACGCCAACCAACGGGGAAATTGGGAGCCCAGCGCGCCTGTGGGCACCAGATAGGGGAAGGGTGGCCCTATGTAATCCCCGCCTCCTTCTCCTCCTCAGGGCTGCCCGAGGTCCAACTTCTGCGCCCCGCCATGCGCCTTTTGGCGCTCGCTCTTAAGCGAAGCGGGGCGCGGGGAGGTGGGGGGGGGGCTGAGGACTCCGCCACGGACGCCCAAAGAAGACTACGCCGTGTGAGCTTTTGCAGGGAAGGCGGAGAGAAAGCGAGGCAGAGCTCCCGTTGGGCAGCGCCCTCAGCCAAGCGACGGGAACGACCCGAGAGGCGCTCGCTTTTTCCCCCCCCAGGGCGCCGCTCAGCGCGCAGGTGGCCAGGCCGTCCGGCCGCTTCCTCACTCTCTCTCGCTCTCTTTCTCCCCCCCCCCCTCAAGTCCCCGCAACCCGGGGTTTTTATAACCCTGCCGGCTTCTCTCCCAGAGAAGGGACCAATAACCGGAGGGGACTCCGCCTTGGCCTTACCCGCCCCCTCCGAGCGGGGCGGGGAAGCGGGAGCGGCGTGCTGGAGAGGGGCGGCAGCGGAACGGGGAGCTGACGCGCGCGGGTGACATTTGGCCAGAGAGCCTTCGCCGGCGGAAGACTTCCCGGCACTTTCCTCGCCCCCCGCACCGTCTACCTCAAGGGCATCGTCCGACGAGGCTTCCCGGTTTGCCCTCAGAGCCGCTCGGCGCGGGAGAAAAGGCAGGTTTCCTGTTCGGCGAAAGGGACTTGCTGCTGCTGGTGCGCGGCTGGGCAAAGCGGACTCTGGACGGTGAGAGAGAAGTTGCTTGGAAGCGGGGCAGTTGGCGCCTTTAGCAGCCGGAGGAAAGAGGCTTTCCCCTCCCCTCCCTCCTCTCTCCCCCTGACTTTCTTTTCCTTCCTTTTGTTGCTGGTCTTGTAGCCGGGGAGAGATTCTCTCTCTCTCGCTCCCTCTCTCTCCCTCTCTCCCTCCGTCTCTCTCTCGGGGGGGAAAAGATGCACACGACGCAGAAGGACACCACGTATACCAAGATCTTCGTCGGGGGTCTGCCCTACCACACCACGGACTCCAGCCTCCGGAAGTATTTCGAGGTCTTCGGCGACATCGAAGAAGCCGTGGTCATCACCGACCGGCAGACGGGCAAATCCCGGGGATACGGATTTGTAAGTTAGAAGGGACCCGCCGGGGGTGGATGGGGTAAATGGGGTGGTGAGGGTGATCGCTGAACAAGGGCGGGAGGGAAGACAGAGACGGGGAGTGGAGAGGACAGTAATCCCGCAGCCTCGGTCTCTCTTCCCCCCCCCCTCCAAAAGGGGGCTTGAAAAGATTGTGATTATTCAGTTGAATGGTACAGAAGGCAAAGTTACCAACGGTAAATTTCCTCCAAACTGAAGCAACGTGCAAAGAAGGCACTGGAAAAACAACCTATGTATCGAGGGGGGGGGGTGTTCCACAATGAATACAGACCGACTACAATGTTGCGGGGATATTTAGAGGGGGGGGGCATACTTTCTTCTTTGAAGAGTTTGCTGTGCGTGCTGCGTGCTATGGATATTTTGCTTCGTGCCTGTATAAGAAAACTTGCTAATAAAGTTTTGGCATTGGATGAAGCCAGCTGGCTGCAGACTGATAGGGACATGTTCATATTTTTATCTACGCTGGCACATGCTACTGTGTCACTGCAAACTTTCTGTGCCTCTGTTTCGGGAAACAGAATGCTTCGAATAGAACTGGGTTTTTAAAAAGTGTTTATTGTATTAATTACAGAGAGAGAGAGAGAGAGAGAGAGAGAGAGAGAGAGACAGAGAGAGAGAGAGACAGAGAGACAGAGAGAGTGAGAGACAGAGAGAGAATGAGAGACAGAGAGAGAGACAGAGAGAGGGAGAGGGAGAGAGACAGAGAGAGAGAGACAGAGAGAGCGAGAGGGAGAGGGAGAGAGACAGAGAGAGAGAGACAGAGAGCGAGAGACAGAGAGAGAGACAGAGAGAGGGGGAGAGACAGACAGAGAGAGGGAGAGAGACAGAGAGAGAGACACACACAGAGAGAGGGAGAGAGACACAGAGACACAGAGAGAGGGAGAGAGACAGAGAGAGAGAGGGAGAGAGAGAGAGAGTCTCCAAAATTCCGACATTGAAAGATACTGCCTAGTTGTATTTTCATTTGGATGCCGGGAGTTTATTTGTTTGTTTATTTAATAGGCCACCCAAACACCTGCGGGCAAATTACAGCTAAACAGCCAATATATAAAAGAGTATAACCAACTATAAAGCAAAATACCGAAACAAAACCAGAACAAAACAAAAAGAGAACTCCCTGACCATTCTAATCTGAAAGAGTCCACCAGAAAGACTATTGTTTTACAATATCTGGAAGGTTGTTTTGAGGGTCACCAGTTTTTTGATACCCTTTGCTGTTTATTATCAAGGTAACCATGGCTGATCGAGCTGCTGCTGAAAGGGCCTGCAAAGATCCTAATCCAATCATTGATGGCAGAAAAGCTAATGTGAATCTTGCCTACCTGGGAGCAAAACCAAGAATTATGCAGCCAGGTAATCGCTGTGATTATTACCTTCTAATTTTAGAATGAGTGGTTTTGCAAATGAACAGCCAAAAGTTCTCAAAAGAACATAGTCCCGAAGCATTTTATCATCACCCAATTCTGTGATTTTTAATTATGGCCAATTCATGTTAAGGATACTTTGTGTCAACGCAATAGGTATTACTGGTTCAAATGTAAGAATTATGTCCAAGAGTCATAATGTCATGTGATTTGCAGAATGTGGGGCAGTTCTTCCTAGAGCTGACATAAGACATTTGGAGCAGAAGATGAAAGGGGGATAAGTTACTTCTTCCCAAGGTATATGTACCTGCTCTATGTAGGAAATATGGACAACGAAACAGCCAGAAAACTTTCCTTATTAAAAAAAAAATTGACTGTCCCTTTGCCTTGGTATGGAAACCTTCCCTGTGCACACAGGGAAGGTTTCCATAGCACTTAACACAGTCCCTGTGTGCACTAAAAGTGTAGTTCTAGTTGTCTAAAGAAGTTCTTGCACAGTCCTTTTCTAAACACTTGATTGATAGAAGTCCAAGAAACAGAAAGTGGAAATTTAGGAAGCACCAACTTGAGAATGTAGAAAATAACATCACAGCCTCATGCAATATCTAGTAGTTTCTGTAGATTATGCCCTTAAATAATGCACAAAGGATTATGGTCTCTCTCTATATATTACAGGGAGAGATTAATGTATATAGCAGTTCTTTCAAATATTCAACTTTCTTCCTTTTTGGTGAGTCAGCTACATGTGATGTCCTCCTTTAATTGAAGAGTCTAATTTATTAATGGGACTAATTAATTGATCAGAGATTCTAATTAAATGGAGAATCATTTTGTTGTATGTGACTCGGAATATAAATTTTCTTTTAATATCAGATTTAATATTCCTAGTACAATATTTGCCAGCATCAGTAGTCAACTTTTGATTTCTAAGAATCATCCAAAGCAAAATGCTTCAAAATGAAACTTGGAATAGCTTCCAGATTTTTATTTTGCATTTACAATAATAGTCAGCAACATGTTCTGGCACCATATATATCACCGTAATGTCTCGTAGGCACTTCAGAAACCAACTAAATTCTGTAAAAATCAAGAATTTGCCTAATTGCAATAACTTTTGATTCATAAGTTTATATTAATTTGTGGAGCAACAGACATCGTTGGTGTGTGTCATTTCTGTGTTGCCAAGGCTAACTTCCTGAGTTATTTTAGTTGCTTATTATTTGATATTTCTTTTTTTATCAACGTTGTATTCCTGAAATACTATGCTCTTTTTTTCCCAGCCAACTTATTTATGGAAGGTTTTTTTTTTCATTACTAAAATCAGCCTCCAAACAAGATCAACATGTTTTCTGTTCATCATTGAGGTAACTAGGAATAACCATGGTCAACCTCTACCCCACATGTATACATTTAAAACTCAAGATAAACGATTTGAAATTAAATAGTGGAGTTTAGGGATCTGTCAGGAAAATGAACAAATTATCACTAAAATTCAGTGGGTATAGACTTTTTAATAAAGTCACATGTATGTTCTCTTTAAACCAGGGGTCGCAACCTTAAACACTTACTTACACCCACCATAGAATCTCCTCTTAGCACGGCGTCCTTTTTCCTCTATGTGTCCTAACTGAAAGCCCTATCAATTGTGGAATTGACCGGCCACAGGGAGCCACAGCAGAGGGATGAAAGAGCCACAGGTTGCTGACCCCTGCTTTAACCCATTAAGCCTCTTATTGGAGACATCTCCTACTGAAAGCACAAAGTCATCCCCACTTACGTAGAAAATTACAGGTTTAATTCTTTTGCATCGATAAATCCTTTCGGTTATAGTTATTCACTATAAAAATATTACGGAATTGTCTAGAAATCACATAGGATGAATGTGTTCACAAGATGGCCACCCTGTTGCCTTCTGCTTTCTAACTTACCTCATTTCTGTTAATTTTAATATATATATAATGTTTTAAGATTTTCTATTTTTGCTTTTTTATGCTATAAGTAATCCAAAGTTGCTTGACAGTGAAATGGGCTTCATGCAAATTTAATGAATGAATAAAACAAAAATGCAAAGTTAAAGACTTTTATTATGAATACTAAAACTACATGAAAGCTAAAAATAGTCCATTATTTTGTCTTTATATTTAAGTTCTAAACTAAGAAATGCCTTCAACTATTATGGGAATATATAGTATTGTATGTGTATCAGCTTTTAGCATTGATTCAGTTCAGACTTTAATTCAACCCCTTGTTCATTCTTTTGCTGTACTGGTATGTTGCTCATTCTATACCACAATTATCAATCTGGAGTAATTGATCCATGAATTGCTAAAACAGAATTAGAACCCATTCATTTGATACACATTTGCAAGCCATGGTTTCTGCAAAGTATGATTTGGCATGGTGAATTACCAAGTAATTTTTTATGAAACAAAATTGCCTAAATTGAGGGAATAATAAACTGTAGTATATTACAGTTAAATAAATGCAAATGACATTAATTTAAATTTGCTTTTTATCCTATTAACACAGGTCTGGGCCATTCAAATATAGCATTAGCTTGGAAAAAAGTTTTTTACTTCTGGTTTAGTTAATGGTTTATTAAAACAAACTAGGATCAAACCAATTTGGTACAGATAAAGGTTCCCAATCTTCCAGCCTCAACTAAGAGATTGGGAACATGAATATCCCTTTTTTATCTTGTCCTTCCATCATTGGTTTTAACTATGATATGGCATTGCCTCTTCACAGTCAACAAGTAACCAGATTAACACATAATATAATTCAGGCTCAATCAGTTATTTTGCAAAACTTCCTTTAGTTAGAAAAAGACAACATAGATCATACCAGTGCAACTCCCAATTACACATGAGTCATGCACAACAGCCCAAAACAGCATCAATGCACCCCAAAAATTCTGCATTCCAGCAGATGATCTTGTGAGATTTCACACATGGCCGCTGTAGGCTCATGGAATTTCAGTAGAAATGTTTTGAAAGAAAAGTTTTGGGGAAGGTAGGCAAGAGTTCCCAGGGCTGCCAGCCATCTGACAAAATTGTTAACTTGTTCCCTTTACCATATTTAAAGCAATTCCTAAAAAAGGGCAGCAGAAACTTATACAAAAACATCCGTACAAAAATAATCAAATACAAAGACCAAGTTTAGGAGACTGTGAACATTATGTCTGCCCCAAAATGTAATGATCTATGAGAAATAACAAGTCTTTTATCTTGAGGTATAATATTATTAATATTGCTGAAAGGAAAGATTACTATTAAGGCTCTGAACATTTCAAAAATGATTCAGAAGCAGCACAGTACTTTTCTGCTATTTGGTAAAGCAGCCTGATTTCCCCACGTTTTTTAAATTGGGGGGGGGGGGGGTAGGTGTGGTTGACTCATGCTGAGCTTGAGTCAGTTAGAACACTGGCAGCCTAGGTTCAAGAGCCCAGCACCACAGGATAGGGTGAGCTCCCATCCTTACCCTAGCTTCTTCCAACTTAGCACTTCGAATACATGCAACTGTGAGTAGATAAATAGGTACCCCTTCAGTGGGAAGGTAACAGCATTCCATGATGTCATGCTGGCCACATGACTATGGAAATGTCTTCAGACACCACTGGCTCAATGACCTTGAAATGAGCACACACACACACACCCCTATAGTCGGCAATGAGTAGGAGTAAAATCCGCAGGGACTCTTATTTTTTATGTATGTGGGCTTCCCCCCAAAAATGGCTGCTGTTGTTGTAAGAGTGTATTAACTTTAATAAGCTGACTAGTTAAAATTACAGGCTTTATTTCACACATGAAAAAAGGTTTGAGTTTCAGTGAATTATTGCTACATTTATTTGCTGCCCACCTTGGGGTTCGAGGCGAATAAAAGTGAGAATCTACTTGCACAAGCTGGAAAGTTGTTCTTACAAATTATTTTCAAACTATGCAAAGACTCAGTAAAGGAGAATATTTGTAACTCAAGAGTTACAAGAAACATCTGCAAGAAAACAACCACGTTCAGAGAACACTAAGGATCCTTTATGCAAGAGTCTTGTTACTATTTTACACTCTGTGGTATATACCAGCCATATTAATAATTTTTGGGTCATGTTCAATCATGTATTTTTAATATTGGAAGCAGCTAAATAACATAATTATTGTCTGGCCTCTGTGCCTCGAAAACCAGGATTATTTATTTATTAAATGAAACAAAATGCATTCATGTATAAAACATTTTCATGAAAGGTAAGTGACATTTTACCTGCTTTTCTTTAAGAACAATCCCAGGAATAGTATTTATTAAGAGTATAAATCTGCAACGCTTTGGTTATTGATGTGGAAGTCCCATTTAATTTCATAGACTTTAAGAGAGGTAAAAGATTGCCAACACAATGCAACAGAAGGAGTATCAGTATACAGAATGTGCTTTGTTTTGGTGTTAGGTTTTGCCTTTGGGGTTCAACAGCTCCATCCAGCCTTAATCCAGAGACCCTTTGGGTAAGTCATCTCTAAACCTGTTGTTGTGGGGTTTTTTTGCAGTGGGAAACAAATAGTGTATACTTGTTAATGTCCTGTAATGTGACTTCTGGCAATAAAATTATTACTTTTTTTTCTCTCCAAATATGCAGATTTAAAATGCCCTCGCTTCCTTAATGGTTTTCCAATAAGCGTTAAAGCTGGGGGGGATGGGTGCCCAGCACCTCACACTGAAGCAGTCCTGTGCTGATAAGATAATGTGGGGAAATCAGGTCTGCCTGTAATCAACACTCCAGTGTACCCCCCAACAATATATTTTTCTTTCTTAAGCTAAACTCAATGTTATTTATCTCTTTCTAATCTGACAGGGATCGTTTACAGTTAAGATAACTGATGAGAAGGATATGAGGTGGAATAGTTCTGTTTGGAATTAAACTCTGTAACCAGTAGACTCAAAACACACACAAACAAGCTAAAATGGTGATTAACGATGCATGTATGTTTTCTTTCTATAGTCCATAGATATCAGTGTGGTTTTTTTATTTATTTATTTATTGATTTATTGATTACAGTAATGAAGTGGTGTTGATAGCTAAACTGTGTGCTTTTGTTTAATTGAAAGAGCTGTAGTGAAAGTTTTTGGTGGCTTTTCCGTTTTGGTTTTTTTGTTGAGGAGTGTTGACTTTGCGAAGGGGAGCACAAAAAAATAAACAAATCCTCTTTCCCCCCCTCTTGCTTTCAAGCTGTAGCCTGCGACTTATTTATCTTCTTTTTAACCATATTTTGTAGTGATTGCTAAATTTGTGTGATACCGTTTTATTTTCTTTTTTTTTTTAAAAAAAAAAGAAAGCTCAACATTGCTTGCATGTTAATTTTATTTTTTTGTACTTTGGGAAGGATGTGGAGCTTTTGTGTTATTAACAATACGCATCCACTTGCACTTTCCCATTAATGATTTTGTTTTCATCAGCTTTAACTTGCAGTATTCTTTAAATATGTGCTACTTTTAATAGAACTTATGTTGTTTTTTTTAAATTCAACGTGAAACTAGAAAAGGAATCTGCTTGAACTCTCTCTTTGCGCTCTTTTCTCCTTGCTAATCCTCGCTAAGTAAAACTCATGGTGAAACTGGAGAACAGTTTTGAAATACTATAACTTGCTACCAGGAAATACTAGCAGCAATAATTGTATTCAGCCAGCTGAAGACTGAAAAAGACAACATCCAGATTTACATGTTACTGTGTTTGCACAAGGCGCTGAGCTATTAAACTAGTCACAATCATAAAACATGGTTTACAAACTATAATTGCTGAGTTTATTTATAATGAACGACATTATGATTTGGTGTGATGTGTAACTCCAACCTGTAAGTTGATGCCCTACAGAGGATCTCTCATGATAGGGCTATAATGGAGAAAGGAGAGAGAGAAGTGCAAAATGTTGTGCCTTTTCAGATAGCGATTTTCACCAATTTGGTGTCCCCAGATAAATTGACATATTTGCAGGTTTGGGGAGTGGAACATCAGAGACTGTTGGGAAAGGTGATATTTGCTGGCCTTTCATCCATTGATCATAGTTTTTGGAGTTTCACTTGATGCAACACTGGATCCAGTTTATTGCCTGCAATTATATGTAATTTTCTTGATATTTTATAAAATGCTTTAATTTCCCCAACTATTTGTCAACTTAGGGGAAGCAAAGATGTAGAAATGTTAAATCTGTCTGCCATTAACAGAAAAGCTAACTGCCTATATAGGAGGAACAAGGGAGTGGATCAGGGGTAGGTTTCAACCGGTTCGCGGCGGTCCCTGCGAACCGGTTGGTCGGCGAACCCGGAAGTAAGTAACTTCTGGGAACGGCGAAGGGCCCGCCCGCCCGCCCGCGGTCCTTACCCGGTTTTGACGAGTTCTGCACATACAGCGCCTGCGCAATCCTCCAGGAGCAGCTGGAGCATCGCGCAGATCCTAGTACGCATGCGTGCACCACGCATGTGCTCGAGGAC